GCAAAGGCAGGTCCAGTCATTTCGGAGATACGGAGCAAAAAGTACAGAAAATAGAAATCGAATTTTTGAGAGAACAGAGCATTCGGTTTGAATAATCCAAAAAAACTTTCTGCTTGTTTTGACAGAATAATTGCTTTTGGGAAAAAAAAATTACAATTTTCTGGCTAAAGTTCAAAAGCTCACTTATATACATTAAGAATAATTTTAACTTTATTATATTATTATATTTATCAAAATAAAACATAGAATTTAAAAAATCTTCCAAGATAAAATCATTAATAACTGTTTTATAAGGTAAATATATATTTCGCATTATGTGTTTAGATATCTATATACAAGTGTTGTACAGCAAAATACTTTTGAAGACTATAAAGTTACACTTTGATAAGCATAAATATGTAAACATCGAGTTAATTAAAAAAAAATTAAAGAGTTCTAAAGAAGTCTATAATTCATTAACATTGTATATTGTATTGCGTTTTTTTCCTTCCCAAAGAAGTTTATGTTATAATAAAAAAATCCGATTCGCTAATTTTATGTTTTCTCGACGTTTCAAGCCATTCTGAATCGTATGAGACCAAATTTGCAAAAAGTATGTGTTTATGAGTTTTTTTCGACGCTTTCTCACAAACGGCTGGACCGATTTCAAATATTCAAAAGCCATTCGATATAACTCGATAAGGACTTGCGTTTGTCAGTTTTGAAAAAAAAATCCACGTTTTAGCCCGCAATCCTGAATCAATTGCAAAAATTCAAAAACTGTTCAAAAGATATTGGTTGGAAATCGACCTGATTAGTTTAAGATCGATCGGGCCGTTTTCTTGTAATCAACAGTTGAAAAAGAAATTGACAATTTTTATGAAAGTTTTTTTGGCGATAGTTATCATGGTCTAATAGAACATACTTAAATATTACGGTCTTACGACAAGCCGGTCAGTTTTAAAAATTCATCAAGGTTTGGACAAATCAGTAGCATTATTTTGGCGGTAAAGTTAATTAAAATTATACAAATTAATTAAAATTTGTAATAAGCTACAATTTTAGGACATTAAAGCACACGTGTCTGTGCGCTATAATTAATATAATTACAGATAATTTAAATTTGTTTGAGAGATATCAATAGGAAATATTGTTTTTTTCGGAAAGTAACTTCGTTTTTTATAGACTTTTTGGCACGTTATTTTCGTACAATAAACAATTACTTTATTATATTATGTTTTGGCAGTTTTGACCGAACATATTTTGTCATATTTTTGTGTTAGCATAATTCCGAAATCATAAATGTTTTGGCTGATTTGAGGTAAAGGTTATACCACCTAAAATTTTTTTAGTGGCCGGAACAAATAATGATCCGATGATGACAAGTCTGAAGAATATGATAAATGTGTAATTGGGTCTCATTCAAGCTTCAAAAGCTTTTGGCGATTGACCCAACTTATATGAGGTCTTTTGCGTCGTCTTGATGCAGGTCTATACCTTACTTATGGGTTAATTCTGACCTTTTCTATTGAAGTATATTATTTAGCTTATCCAGCTGATAACATAAGGCATCCGAATTGACCGTTTTGTTATCTCACCAAACATACTTCATCACCTTTTTTGGCGAATTTCTGCTTTGCAACTGTTTTGACCAAGTTCTTCATTTTTGTTTCATGGGCAATTGCGTATATTGTATTCTTTACATCCCATTTAAAATTCCTAGTGACAATCCGCTTCAGAACCTAATAATTTTCAAGACTTTTCAGAGGCAAATTGCGGACGCCAGTGCGACGACACACGTTTTTTTCTATGAGAACCATAATTTAAGTTTCGAGGAGTTCCCAGACCTTTTGAGTGGTCATGAATTGTTAAATTTGATAAATTTTTACTTAATGGGATCTCATGTATTGTTATTCGTCGGTTTGCATCAACTAATGCTTTTCTCGCGTCTTTATCAGCTTCAACCGTACTTGTTGGACTTGGTGCATCTTGGACATCAAAAAAATACCAGGAATGAAATTTAGCAAACCAATTTTGGTACTATCAACATGTCATTTCCGTATGCATCGATCAATTTCATTTTGCCTTAAACTTTTGCCTTTCTTTAGCAAAAGAGTAAAATATGTCGAAAATGCTGCTTAATTCTTTTCATATTCAAAGTGGCACCATCCAAAAACTATTGCATGTAATTGATTAAAACTAGGGTTTGTCGGTTTTCAAAAACCGGTTTTAAAAACCGTTTTTTTTGCAAAAATTATGGAATTCGAAAACCGTTTTTTAGCGAAAAAAGTCGGTTTTTACTGTATATGTGGAAAATGAAAAATATAACCAAATATGAAACATAGATGAAAGCGTTTTGATTCTTGAAATCATATCGGTTCAATAGCATTTCATATCTTATCAATCTGCAATGGTTCAATTAATGGTTTTGTATATATTAAATTAGATTTTTATACCAGTTATATATTAATTTAAATCAGTGTGACTTCTTCTTGAAGAAGTAACTTCCTCTGCTCTAACTAGAAAAAGAGTTTTAAACCCTAGAAGCCACAAAGAACAAAAAACTTAGGCTTTAAAAACAATTAAGCATAATTTGATCGCAAGTATGAAAGTATTTTCTATTTCAGGAAATTTTGTGAGTAAACAAAGGACACGTCTAAGTAGCAATTCGATAGACGTTCTCAGTTTTTTGAAATCATATTTTATTAAACAAAAAAAAACAATTAGAATGTTTAAAATTAATTAATTAAAATTGCTCGGAACAGACAATACCCGAGTTTAACTTAATTGTTTTTAAAACTATAATTGATATCAACAAGTATGTATCAACATGTATCTAATTTTTTTTTATTTTATTTTAATTTAATGATTTTTTTTATTTAAAAATGTATTATTTTTATTTATTTGAAAAATTTCCTTTCACTATCATAAAAATATTTTCATTCTTATATGTGAAAATGATGCATGAATAACGAATAATTATTTTCAAAGTTATTTAATCAAGATAAACCATTATTTTTTAGTTCTACTAATTAAAATTAAAATAATTTTGTTTACTATCTATAAAATTGAACAATAAATAAATTCAGTCAAATACTGCTCTAAATTACACTAAATTTGCGGATAAATTACAGAATATTCGAGCAAAAATTTATTTTTTATATAAAATTCGAAAACCGGTTAAACCGTTTTTTTGGTAAAATTAAACTTCGAAAACCGGTTTTCTGAAATGTCGGTTTTTGTATAAACCCTAATAAAAACCTTTTAAACACAAGCCTTAAAATATAAGTTTTCAAATCATATAATAATTATAGGGTTTCAGTGTGATGTTAGGTTCAAAAAAATATAGTTAAATTTTGGTGGTAAAAAACGAAGTGACATTCCGAACAACCTTATAGCAATGTTTACAATTAAGTGAAAACAAAAACTTTATTTTCGAAACAAACAGTTGAAAATTTCATCTAAATATCTGAACCTTAATTTCGGTTGATTAAGTCAATTATACACGTTTCGGGAAGTCCATGCAACTTGTTAAGGAAAAATGACACTTTCAACTAGTTTTTATTGGTTTGATGGATATACTTTTTCTGTGTGTAAAGATCCATGTATAAAGCTTTATGTAATCATTGCAACTACAGTAGAATCCGCTTAGTATGACATCGAAGGGACGCCGAAATCTCGTCATACTAACCGGTCGTCATACAAAAGCATACTAAAGAAAAACTTTTTAATATGTAAATATGTTACATGTTTCAGTAATTTAAAAGAAAAGCCTATACATACATTTTAATTAAAAATAAAAATGACACAAAATTAAAATTTAATATAAAATAAAATTGACATAGGGTAGGGCGGGGCACAAAGGTCCAATTTGACATTCAGTAATTATACTGTCTAAACCCAATGAACAAGCTTGCAACACATAACACACATCAAACAAGCATATATCGAACTATGTACAGAAAAAAATTCACATAATTCCTAATTAAATAAATATTCTTTTTTTTACTATTTTTTTTAAATTTGGTATGTGACCCATTTTACCTTACATACGGGGTAAAGTGGGACAACCAGGGGACAAACAGATGCAATTTCTTTTATTAAATTTTAAAGGGATTTTACGCTACATTATTGAACCAATGCAAAATTTTAATTCTGTGGGTACATTTGTTACAAAGATAACACAGTATATTACATTAATCTGCTCTTGCTCAGAAATATTCATCAGGCGAGCCAGAATAACAATTTATTTAATTAATCTCTTGTAAAATTGCTTTTTTTTAAACTTTACTATTTTATTGTTTACACCTTTGCCAAAGTAAAGGTTCTGCTGGTCCTTTTTATCCCACTCATGTGCTGCTTATCTTCTGATAGCAAAGTCATAAGAATAAAAGTGATCTATCAAATATTTTTGTTAAAAAAAATCTAATTTTATTTGTTTACGAGATATCCGTGGTAGACCATTAATAATTGTTCTACTCTACCCATAAACATACAAATGTGATTTTTTAATGTAAGTAATCAGAAATTTTGGATTGATTTTTTTACATAATTTTATTGTGAAAACAGATAATAGTCCCTAGTGCTATTGTGCACAAAAGACATAGCAATTGCTTTTGAAGACTTGGCCATATCATGTAAAATCATGTCGGTCAAAAAATGGGCCATTATAAGCGACATGTCAATGTAAGCGATGTCAATATATCCGACTAGACAGCTGTATTTTTAAGGAATTTTATATGGAAACCAAACTTCCTAGTGCGATTACGTCATAATAAGCGGTTGTCAATATATCCGGCGTCATTCTAATCGGATTCTACTGTATAAGCTTATTTAAAACCATTAAATTTTAAGTATACAATTAAACTTTTAAAATGTATACAATTTACGCAGTTGTTATTTCTTTATATGTAAGCTAGGGTAATTTATTGCCCTTATGTTTTACTGAAGTTGAAACATACATAGTTACATTATAATTTTTATAAGCATTTATAAATACATAATTGTAATATAAAACATACCTTTAATAAAACATTTACACCCATGCAAATATTGTCAACTAAATATATCCAGCTTGAATTTTGATTAGTGTGAAAGCCTTTATTATACCATAATAGATTCCAGTTTGATCAAAAATGTATTTTCGTTTAACATTGTTAAAAAATATTTTTAATATAATTATTACACAAATATATAAATTATCACAAGTCACAAGTCAATTTGGTAAACAAAACCTTTCAATCATCACTGTTTGCAATTCTTAATTCTAACACGTGCAGTAGACACTTTGCATTTATATTTTTATGATGTTTTATAAGAAGCGGATATGCTACTTCCTTTTTAAAATTTAATATTTCGGTTGACATGTGTAAATACTTTTCACGGACTGAAAACTATACTTGTTCGATTAAAATTTGAAACATGACATTGCCAATATAATAAAGAATACAATAAACAAACATTGTTTGAAGAGCGGAGGAAGAAGCACTCGACGTGCGTACGCTTCCGAAGCTTCTAACACTGTGCGAGCCGGTGAGACGCGTCGGTAAGCGATTAGCTAAGCGTTCCCACTCCACAAGGGTTCAGTCGTTATCTCGATATTTAAATCTAGGTACGGTATAGATATGAACGCAACTTTAAACCATTGCGTAGTGTACATACAGGGCCGGTCCTGGGGTCCTCAGCGCCCGCATGCAAGATTTGTTCTAGCGCCCCCCCACAATAATTTTAACTGTTTTAACATTTATCATTAAAATTATATGAATATTTACGTAAATTCACACAAAAAATTAGAACTAATCTAAAAGCATATAAAATACATTGATTTTATTTTTATTAGAAAATCGAATCGATTTGCGATATAATTAAATATTTTATATTATCAAGTATTTCTAACATATATGTAATATTAATATTTGGGTTTTAAAACATTTCACTTATTTCATTAAACTCATTTTTATTTTTAAACATAACATTCATTTTTCATATTATATTTTTAAAATTTCATTTTAATTTTTTTTTCATTATTTACAATATCCAAAATTGCATCAGTAACTAATCGTCTAATTTTAAATTTAGCTAACGTAAAAAAAACTACTCATTTTCTCAAACTTTGATGAATTTTTAAAATTAAACTACTTGTAAGGACGTAATATTACAGTAAGTTCTATAAGACCATGATATATATCGCTTAAAAAAATTCCATAACTAGTGGGGTGGGTGGCATCGTGCCTTAAGGCAAATTGCTGGAACTTCCCGTACCGTAACGAAATGTTCGAGGAATATTGAATGTTTTCAAATAGATTATTATAAATATTGTAACATTGTCTAATATTTATAAGAATTATATAAACTGAATTGCAGAGTTGAAATTATTTGTTTAAAGTATATTAGAACTATAGTCAGAATTAAAAATAAAATCTGAATTATTTTCGATATACAAAAAATTAAAAAAAAAAAAAAAAAAAAAAATGGTACAAATTTTTTTTTTCCAAAATCAATTATTTTGTTAAGACAAGCAGAAAGTTCTTTGAATCAATTGAATCGGACGCTTAGTTCTCTTGAAAACTGCCATTTTTTGTACATTTAGCTCTGTATCTCCGTAATGGCTGGGCCTGCCTTTGCGAAAAACTAATAACCCCTTCTCCCAATCATTACTAATTGAATGTTTTTAGATCATTCAAATCGGATGCTCCGTTCTCTCAAAAACTCGATTTCTATTTTCTGCACTCTTTGCTCCTTATCTCCGTAACTGCTGGACCTGTCTTTGCCAAAAACTAATCAGCTCTTCTCCTTATTAATAGGAATCGAATGTTTTTTAAACCATTCAAATCGGTTGATCCGTACGCCCGAAAACGTGGGCGAAAATTTGTATCCATACATACATACACACACACACACACACACACATCCATTTTTTCTGAGGTATGCCAAAACGTTCAGAAACCTTCAAAACGTCGAGAAATGTAAAAATTTTCAATTCCGATTTTCGGCCCATTACAATAACTTACCCTACGGGAAGTTAAAAATCGGCTTAAATTTTTTCAACACCTTATTACAAGAAAACGGCAAGGCCGATCTCTATCAAAAACTAATCAGGTCGACTCCCAACCAATATCATTCGAACGGTTTTTGAATTTCCATAATCGGTTCAGAATTGCGGGCTAAAACGTGGACGAAAATTTTTTACTTTTCAGCTATTTATAAAGAAACGTCTCGGCCGATCATCCCACAAAACTGACAAACGATAGTCCTCGTCGAGATACATCGAATGGCTTTTAAAATTTTGAAATCGGCTCAGCCGTTCTCGAGAGAATGTCGATTTACGGCAAAAAATCTGTTCACATACACACACACACCCACACATACTTTTTCCAAATTTGGTCTCATTCGATTCAGAATGGCTCGAAACGTCGAGAAAACATAATATTAGCGAATCGGATTTTTTGATGAAAACAAACTTCTCCTTCGGGAAGTTAATTATATTTGTATCTGTATTATTTCTGCTTAGTTAATAATTAAATTTAGTATGGACACCACTAGGTATAAAAAAGCTCACGAGTTTTGTTTCTAAGTACACTTTGCTTCCATTTTTCATATTTTCTCCATTTCCATAAACCTAACCAACGCATGTCTTCAAAGTTCAAAGTTAATCAGATGCGAAACATTTTCAACAAATACAAAAGTTACAATTAAGTTTCTCGGTCTTATAGTCATTTTTTATACACTGACTTCCCATTTTCCATTTTTCTCTATTATAATTTGTATCTATTTCTTTTAACAAGTTCCGTTCAAACTAAATCACCTCGCAATTTTTCATCAATAATGCCCAATAATTTAAACTTTCGTAGGTTTGCGCTTACGGTATTGAACACTAGATAATTTCTTTTTCAATTCCACATTAACTTCAATCGAAGAAAAATTTAATGAGTTCATTAAATAATAAGCAGAACAATAATTTACTAATTTGCATGAGTAATTAATTGTTTCTACAGATATCACATTGCAAACAGAATATGCTTTATGTTTCTACATATCCATAGTTAAGTTAGATTGTTTATTATAATCTGTTAAGTATTCTAGATTTTATATTAAAAAAAAAATACGAATAATATATTATAAATTTAATTTCCGAATCTCGTTTTGGCGCCTCCTAAGGCGTGCGCCCGCATTTTTTGCATGCATCGCATGCAAGGCAGGACCGGCCCTGTGTACATATATGTATTGTGTACAGAGGCGGATCTAGGGGGGGGGGTCACGGGGGTCATAACACCCCCTGAGCCTGCTTTAGGACTTAGATAATGATTTTATTTATGTATTTTGTTACCAAACATATTTTATAACTTGAGTATTTAACTGATTGTAGACGAATGGCGGAGTCAAAAATCCTAAAATTTAAGGATAATTTAATCGTATTGCGAATATATATGTTTTATTATAGTTTAGGAAAAAAATTTCATTCAAAAATCTAAAAATTAAACCGAATGAGAGTGGCCCTTATGCATGAACTCTCAGTAATTCTAACATCTGTAAATAGATGACTTAATCAATATATAAACTAGTGGTGTATGGCATCATGCCTGAAGACAAATTGCTGGAACTTCCCGTACCATAACAAAATGTTCGAGAAATATTTTTTCAAATAGATTATTATAAATATTGTAACAATGTCTAATATTTATAAGAATTATATAAACTGAATTGCAAAGTTAAAACTATTTATTTAAAGTATATAAGTTTTATACTTTCGTCAGAATTAAAATTAAAATCTGAAATATTTTCGATATACAAAAAAAAAAAATTTGAAAAAAAAAATTGAAACAATTTTTTTTTCAAAAGCAATTATTCTGTCAAGCAGAAAGTTTTTTGAATCATTCAAATCGGTAACTCAGTTCTCTCAAAAACTGCCATTTTTTGCACATTTAGCTCAGTATCTTCGAAATTGCTGGACCTGCTTTTGCCAAAAACTAATCACCTCATTTCACAATCATTACAAACTCAATGTTTTTTAGATCATTCAAATCGGATACTAAATCAAAAACTCGATTTGTGTTTTCTGCACTCCTCACTCTGTATCTCCGTAACAGCAGGACCTGTCTTCGCCAAAAACTAATCAGCACATCTCCCTATGAATAAGAATCGAATGTTTTTGAAACCATTCAAATCGGCTGATCCGTGCGCCCGAAAACGTGGACAAAAAAAATGCGAACATACAAAACACACACACATCCATTTTTTCTGAGGTATGCCAAAGTGTTCAGAAACCTTCAAAATGTCGAGAAATGCAAAAAAAATCATTTTGGATTTTCGACCCATTACTATAACTACCCTTCGGGCAGTTAATAATGACTGATTTAGAGAAGTATTCCTAATTGCTGTAAACCATTTTAAAGTGAGAAACTATTGCATTTTTTTTTCAAATATATTAGTTATTTTTGAAAAATGGTTTGAATATTAAACATTGATGGAAAACGAACACATACGAAATACGTAGCCGAATACATACACACGTGAATTTTTTAAAAGCGCGGCCAAATAATCCAAACATTAATTATTATAAGTAAACCACTTGTCGCAGGCCTTAATATAGTTTAGTACGTTCATTTAGAACAGAAACTCTATCGCCATGCAAAGTTTCATTTAAATCGCCAAAAAATGACAATCTATTATATGAAAAAGAAACGACTTGACTGATCTTCGACAGAAACCATTTATTTCCAAATGATATCAATCGAATAGTTTAAGCAACAACGGTTAAGAATTTTTGACAAAAACATGGACGATAATTTTTGCACTTTTCTGCCAATAGTAAAGAAACGGATCGACCAATTGTCTCAAAAAACTAATCAACGCAAGCGCTTATCCAGTTTCATTTTATAGTTTTTAAATTTTAACATCGGTTCAGACAAGAAAACGTCAAGGAAAGGTCAAATTTTGAATCACGTCAAAGAAGCAGATTATTTTAAAAAAATACACATATGTAAGTTCAAGGCGGGTCCAACTTAAATTTGAGCAATTATATTGTGAAAACTAAGCGAAAAACGTAACAACCAATAAGACACATCAAACAAAAAACCATCTGACTATGTTTTAGTACAACTTCCAGCTAATTCATCACTGTACAAATGAGTTTTTTTGCTGTTTTTAAAAAAAATGTCACTTAAGTAATTAGTTTGTCTTTACCCCATAAGCGGGGTAAAATCTGACGACGAGAGCACAAACAATCCAATTTACTATTTTTAATTTTAAATGGATTTAACGACATAATAACTACATTAATAATTATTCAACCAATGAAAAATATGAATTTTATAGATACATTTAACTCTTGATTTGATATTTTGTCCAAAATATTCACCAGCAGAGTTGGAATAAATATTTATTTCATTTATCTCTTGTAAAAATGCTTTTTTTAACGTCGTAAGAATCAGGATAATGGCTGGTTGTACATTTTTCCCTCTACTTTCAAATAATGTTGTTAAAAAATCCTTAACTTTACTTGTTTTTGAGATATCGGTGGTGAACCTTATTACCCGCGAATCTTTAATCCCCGTTCTATCATATATATATATATATATATATATATATATATATACATTTGTCACCTACTCATTGAGGACTATAAAAACTTTTCAATTATGACCCCTCCCTGTCGCCGAAGCTGGATCCGCCACTGATTGTGTACTAGAGTTGGGCCACTCTGAAGTGAGTTATATCCGAGGATTCCTTCCTTGGAACGAATCCGAGTGGACTTGTATGAGAAAATTTGTCATAGCCTCTCTTTTGTAAACTGATTCTAACAATTATTAACACGTACAAACAATTGCTTGGTATTTTTACCAATACAAAGATCTGCATCGAAAGAAGCTCTTCTCGACTCACAGGAAATTTTATCATATTCTAGGTATAAAATGACCAAAAATTAGTGGGGTGCATAGCATCGTGCCTTAAGGCAAATTGCAGGAACTTCCCATACCGTAATTAAAAATCTTGGTACGAAATCCAACAAAAATTTCGCAAAATGTGTACATATTATTAAAATCTCTATAAAATATCTGATAATTTGATGTACATATGTCTAATAAACATTTTTGACCGCCAAATGACATTTTTTTAACTTAATGTTTATTGAGAGTCCATAATCGCTGGACCTGCCCTCCCAAAAATTTAATCATTTCTTCATCTTGTCAATACAAGTAAAATGTTTTTTGAATTATTAAAATCAGACGCTCGGTTCTCTTAAAAACTGAGTTACCGTTTTTGGCACTTTTTGCCACGCATCTTCGGAACAGCTAGACCTGCCTTCGCCAAAAACTAATCAGCACGTCTCCTTATCAATACGAATCGAATGTTTTTTGAATTATTCGCAAATCGGCCGATCGGTGTTCCCGAAAATCGTCGACGAAAATTTGTATCCGCGCACACACACAAGTTTTAAGCCAAAATGTTCAAAAACCTTTAAAAATCAAAAATGAAAATTTATATATATTTTCATTTTTGTTTTTTTGCGCTATAACTTACCCTATGGGGCGTTAATAATACTGGTTTAATAAAGATATTCAAACAATTTCATTTTCGATTTTTTCCGATTACTAATATACGTGTTAGTTATATATAACTTAGTTAAAAATGGCAAATTTGCAAAAAATTAGAAAAGATGAATAGAAACACAAACAGAAATCCATCTTTAAATTTCCAGAAAAATGTTTTCAAGTACTACAAATTATAATTTTTTTAAAATAAAGCATTGTCGAATAATAACTTACAGAATGAGTAGTTCATTTACTGCTGAATTAATGCATTTATTCATCATCAAAAATACAATTATTCAATCAAAATAAATGAAATAATTATTCAAATAAAGTTTTATTTAATATGTACAATAACATTTTTAATACAATCAAAGAATAAAATTACAAACCATTAAAACATTAATGTAACACATACATGTAGCAATGCCACTTCACACATAAGCAATACATACTTATAATTAAATTTAATATAATTATATTCTTCATATTGCTTTAAAAAAAATTAATTCTAAGATGTGGTGGGTAAGACGCCCAATTGTTGCAAGCAAACTATTGCAGCATCAGCTTTAGCTTGCTTTTTGTTCATATTTCCTATACTGGGCTGATATATAACTCCATTTAATTTAACCTTAAATAAGAAATTCTTCCTATGATCAGGACCAGACTCTAAGCATAATTCATAACATGGAGCACCAAGCTTATGTTTAGAAGCATATTCTCCTAGAAGTGATACAGGATGCTTTCCTGATAATGAAAGGACGGGCGCTTTTCGGGCAGGTCTTACAGGAGGAGGAATTCTTCTAGAAACATCTTCATTTGAAACTAAACCTTTCTTATCAAGTTTTACCTCAAGCATTAAAGGCTGCAAAGACCCAGATTTATCTTTACCTAAACCCTCTCCTGGTCTCCAGCCCATTTTCTGTAAGAGATGCATTCCCATGCCTCCTGTGACTGGTGCAGCTCTTTGTAGCTGGTCCCTTTTCGCCCATGCTTGAGTGCCTGATTGCAATTCCTTTGCACTCAGAATATTAGCATCAGTGCTACCTGTAAATTGTCCAGGTTGATATTTGGAAGAAGTCCATAAAGACATATCTTTTTGTGCATTATATAAGTCATTCATAGCATTTATATCCGAAGGATCTTCTTGTAACTTGCGCATAGCTACTAATCTTTGTGATATAATTGTTGATATATCTAAATTTGTAGGCTCTGTATTGAAAACACCACATAAATTACTTGGCATTTCTGGTGGCGGAACTATCTGAGGATAATTTGTCGGATATGAGTATGTGCTAATGTCAGCTTGTGTTTGGCCAAATGAAGTGTTTCTAGAACCCATTTGTAACATATCATTTTCATTTTCATTTTCCATAACTGCAAATAATGAAGCCGGAAATTCAGGAGGTGGTGGTAAAGCAGGAGTGGCTGAGGATGTTACTTCACTAGTAGTACTTAATACATTTGTAGATAATTCATTAGAGGATACTTTTACAGATTGCTCAACAGATGCTGCTTTACTAACAGATTTTACCTCTTCATTGGAAATATCTTTAGGCTTAGCCTGTATATATTTATTTGAATTAGAGCTGGCTAACTTTTTATTTTCTACACCTGAATGGACTGCATTTGATTGAGTGGACGAAGGTGAAACTGGTTTCCATTCATTTTCAGTTTTTCTATGGTGAGCTCCACTGGACACAGGAAACAACATTCGTAAATTTTTTACTTGTTCTGCTGTTTTTTCTTGTGGTGTTTTGATTGGTAATTGAACTGCATTTTTAATATTCATCACAATTCCTTTATTATTATTTTTTATCATAAATGGATGATGGAATGGTTTTTCAACTTTTTCCTCTTCTGCTTCACTTTCTCCAGATGATACACTAGATAAATCACCAAGATCTTCATTTTGAGAAAGGTTTTTGCAAAAATCAGTAAGCTCCTCTACTGATTTACCTCCAGATTTTATTGCTGCCACAACTTTCTCTTGTGCTTTTCTATCTAAACCGGCTGAACCTGGCAATGTGCCATTTTTCAACATGTGTATTGCATTTTTTCGAGCTATCGCTAATAAGCGCTTCTTATCAATATCTAAATGAGAAGAACCTCCAATTTTAAACACACGTGACCTAGATCTAGACCTAGATTTGTCTCTAAATTTAGAAGAGACCCTACTTACAGAGGTAGCCCTTGACCTCGATCTAGACCTGGTCCTAGCTCTTGATCTAGATCTAGATTTAGCTCTCGATTTACTTGTAGACTTAGAAGAGATCCTACTTACAGATGTTGCTCTTGACTTGGATCTAGACTTGGTTCTATCTCTTGATTTAGATCTAGATTTAGCCTTAGACTTAGAAGAGACCCTACTTATAGAGGTAGCTCTTGACTTGGATCTAGATCTGGTTCTAGCTCTTGATCTAGATCTAGATTTAGCTCTCGATTTACTTGTAGACTTAGAAAAGATCCTACTTACAGATGTAGCCCTTGACTTGGATCTAGACTTGGTTCTCTCTCTTGATTTAGATCTAGATTTAGATCTAGATTTTGATCGGGTTTTAGCAGTAGGTTCAGAACTAATTTTATCTTTTGAATTAGATCTAGATTTATCTTTTGAATTGGATCTGCACCTGGATCTAGATTTATCTCTTGAATTAGATCTGGATTTAGTTTTTGACTTAGACCTGGATCTAGATTTGGGTTTAGATTCAGTTGGAGCCTTGGATTTGTCTATTGATTTAGATCTGGACCTAGATCGCGTTTTAGACTTAGTTTCTGACACAGATCTACTTCTAGATTTGGATCTAGTTTTAGATCTTGTTCTAGATATCTTTCGAGACCTTGATCTGGAACGAGTTCGAGATCGATGACGTTTTGTATTATAACTTTGCCTATTGCTATATTTATTTGTCCTATTATTATAATTCATGGAGCGACTAATGTAATTAGTTCTACCATAATTATATCCTTTATTCATATAATAATTGTTGTGACTGTTGCGAAAGTCCCTACTAAATCTTCTATTTAAAGTTCTGTATTCTTGGCGATATGTCCAATTTTTACTATCCCTGATATTCCACTTATCCTTGTACCTATTATCTTTTGAATATTTTGTACCCCTCGTCCTTGATCTTGAATTATATCTAGACCTTGATCTAGACCTTGATCTAGACCTTGATCTAGATCTTGATCTAGACCTTGATCTAGACTTTGTTTTTGAACGAGATCTTTGTTTTGACATAGTTGGAGTTGATTTTAGTCTTGTTTTAGGCATACTTTTTGATGGAGATCTAGATCGAGACTTTGTTATAGATTTGCTTCTTGATTTTGAAACTGTTTTAGATTTAGAACGAGATTTAGATTTAGAACGAGGTTTAGACTTGATGGGGCTTTTCAACTTGATCAGTTGAGATTTAGATCTAGATCGAGATGAAGAAGATTCACTACTAGAATCAGAACTTGATTCCGATCTAGATCCAGAACTTGAACTTGAACGTGATCTATTTTCATTGAATGTTTTTGTACAAATTCGTTCTTGTTCTTCACCAATCTTAGCTTTATTTTGATACATAGCTTTTAATTGATTGATTTTATCTAGATACTTTTGAGTGGATTTCATTTTGAGCTCCTTCAATCTCTCATAATCATCACTAACATTTTTATTATGGGATTCCTTATCAATTCTTTGCACATTTTGTTCGCAGACAGAACTAAATTTCAAATTTTTAATTGTGATTTTGTTTGTTACTTTTGATTTAACGTTTTTATCCTCAATATGTTTTTCTTTGCATTTTATAGGAACTGTGTGCATAGTAATAACTGCCCTTTTTGGTATATTAATGACAGGATTATCAATATTTTTCATATTGTCATCAAATCTACCATTAAAATCATCATCTAATCTTGAATTTAATGATTCATTTACATTTGCATATGACATAATTTTCAATCTTTTAGGTTCATCTTCTTCGCTGCTTTCATCATTTGATGTACTACTTCTTGAATGCTTCGAATTTTTTTTCTTCTTTTTCTTGCTCTTATGCTTATGCTTTTTTTTATGTTTGGAGCGTTTTCCTGATTTACTACTTTTGGGTAAAACCGAAGTTATGTCAGGGGGCTTAGCATTAAAAGCGCTGAATAATTCTGAAAGAATTTCTGTTGAAGATTTAACATTTTTTGATTGACCTGGTTCCTGCTTTATCTTAATAATTGGTAAGTCTAAAGGTTCCTCCTTTATTTTTATATCAAAAATGCCGCCTTGTACGCTTTTCTTTCGGGGCATGATTAATGATCGAATTGAACAACATTAAATAGTTTTATTCCAATGCCATAATAGAAAACTTGATAGAAATAAATAGAAAACTTGTTAAAAATAAATTTAGAACATCTCATATAACATTTACAGTACAGCAATTTAAAATTCACTGTAAAATAATAATATTAAAATATGTTTGGAATATTATATTAACCTCATAACATTATTGTGAAATGTCATTTTTTGTAACAATGTTTCCTTTAGAGTAAACACAAACCATGGCCGGTAACATAGATAAACAAGTATAAATGGCCGGTAATCTCCAAACAAATGTCTGTAACCCGAGTTTAGTTAGAGCCTCTGCCGGCGGTCGCGCTTATATTAATTTTGATCGAATTATTGAATTTGACATATGACAGATACGTAAATCAAACATGGCGTCCATTGCAATAAATTTTTATGAAGTGATAACCTATACAACATAATAAGCGCTTATTAAAGTAAAAAACAAATAAGCTGTAGAAGTGCATTGTTTAACGATGAAGAAATACCAAGAAAAATGCATGTATTATGTATTTCCAGCGAGAAACGACGAAGTAAAAGTAAAATGGTTAATAATATTTGCCGGCTTTCAATCTAAGTGAGTACTTTTATTAATATGCATATTTCAAATTACTTTCATTTGATTGTACTATTCTGATATAATTTTTCATTACAGTTTAATAATTCAGAAATAATTGAGACATTTAACTTTATCAATACTAGAAATTTTAAGGTTATAAATAGACAGAGAGAATTCCTGTCAGCTCTCTGAAAGGTATGTTATTAAATAACTAAATAAAAATTATTCTTGTTCTAATAATGTAGGTTCATAACTAATAATTCTACATCGATTTTTTCAGCAGTTTAAAAGGAAAATACGCTTAGTTGTAAAATGTTTAGGGGGTTTACTAAACACATTCATAAGTATACAAGTATTGATATGATTTGAATGAATACGCAGGAAAAAACAATAAGAATGCAGTCTGAAATGTGCTGAAATCTTTGCTGACCTCCCACTAATATTGAACATAATGACTCATAATTATACATTAAGTCAGTTTGGAGAACATACTAAAAACACTAATGATATAATTGTAAGTGGAAGGAAATTCTCAATTAATGGTGAAATTCTAGTGCAAAGGTTAATTTAGGTTTGGCTATGTCACAGGAAAAGTTTATGAGTATTGATAATTGCATTTTGATATTACAAGAAATATTATTATTTGCGTTGTTTAATGATGATAAAGGGAATCACATTGTATAGATTTTCAGGAACTGTTAAATGACAGGCAAAGTATAATCATGATTAATGATAAAATTTTAGCTAGTGCAAAGGGATAAAACACAGTTAATGTGCACAGCTTATTGCATTTAACTTTTTGGCTTTTTTCGGCTTATTGAGATGTGTCAATAGCTTTACTCTAAAATGTCTTATTGTAGATGCCATAAGAAAACTATTAAGTACTGTTATAATAATATCAATGATTTCTTTTTCTTTAAGACAATGATAATAATGACATTTTGAAACAACATTTGAATGCACATTAACAATAGCGCAGAAAAGATTCCCGAATAGAGACTGTACATCATAGATATTATGTAAGTTAATGTTAATCAAAATAAATATATATATGTAAATATATATATATATATATATATATATATATATATATACACATACAGGTATGAATTGTGGTTATATATATGTATAAATAATATATACTTTCATGTACATTTCTATTCTTTTTGTGCTCAGCTTAAAAGGCTGATATGCTAAAATGATATTACATATATATATATATATATATATATATATATATATATATATATGTGTGTGTGTGTGTGAATAGCATGTATATTTATGTACATTTCAGGCGACTAGTGCCATCTCTAGAGAGGAGCTTCAACACTGGAATTAACACTCGAAATATGGTTCGAGTGAGCGATCTATATCACTACTCTTCTTTTATCTATGACACCCCCAAGCCGCGCGACTTGTAACGAAACGTCAGATTAGCTGATTTTAGATAATATTCAAATATGTCAATAACATTTAATTTATTTAAACCCATTTAAAATACTTTATTGATTTTGATGCCGACTTGGATTATGTGCCGTCTATATTCAATGTAGAATTAATATTAGTATGATTATAAGTTTTTAAAAAAATATATAGTTTATTCTAGATATATATCTAGTTTCTGTGATGGGTTTATTAACCGATCCGAACTCTGAAAGAGGGTCTATTGGAAAATTTTTAGCGAAATGGTATACTCCGATTACTTTTGTAATGTGGACAGCAGGTGTGGTTTGGTTCTGTGCATTGGCTCACATACAATTTAATAATGAAAGATATTTTTCTGAAAACGCATTACTCCCTGGTAAATTCTTCTCATTATTCATGAATGATGATATTACATAAATATTTAATTATAAAATGAGAAATTTTAGGATTAGTACAATCTGAAACTACAGAAGAAGTTGCATCAATGTCACGTACAATTTTAAATGAATTGATTATGGAATCACAGCGTTTTCACGAAAGCATGCCATATTCATTTCTTTTGGCTAAGATGCAAGCTATTGGATTAGAAGCATATGAACATAATTTTACATTAAAATACCCGTTAAGTCAGGAACAGGTGAGTTTTATTTGCTTAATGGGATTGAATTTGTTATACTGATATTTATTTCCTAGATTTACGTGGGTAGAAATGTGTATGGAATACTACGAGCACCAAGAGCTGCAAGCACAGAAAGCCTTGTATTCAGTAGCCCATTTAGAAGTTCTAAATCATACAATGACAACACATTACCAGGAATTGCTGCAATGTTATCGTTTGCTCATTTTGCAAGAAGTATGTAGTTTTAATAATAATGAGTAGAATATTGTTTTTTTTAACTGCATGAATTATAATTCAGAGCAAAAGTATTGGGCAAAGGATATAATATTTCTCATAACTGAACATGAAATGTTGGGCATGCAAGCTTGGCTAGAAGCATATCATGGCGTGAGTGAAGATATTGATGCACCGACTGGTATTGCTAAATTTCACTTTATAGAAATATAATACATAAATTATTTGAAAAAGAATTGTATATACTTCAAGCTGTATTTAGTTTTAGAATTTGTTTTTTTTTTTCTTAATTAGGACATGGCAAAGCTCTGAGATCAGGAAAGCTCAAAAGTCGAGCAGGTGCAATACAAGCTGCAATCAATTTAGAATTACATGATTTGAAATTAGGTATATATAATAATATTATTTTTATCATAAAACTAAATTTATTCTGAAGTAACTTAAATAAAATCCAATTTAATAGCTTTTGTCTATCATCTGAACAGATCATATAGATATTAAAGTTGAAGGTTTAAATGGACAATTGCCAAACTTGGACTTAATTAATTTGTGCCATAGAATGTGCATTAAAGAAGATATAAGGAACACATTCAAACATAAATTAGCAACAGGAAGTGGAAAACGAAAGCATGTCTCTTTCTCAATGAATCAGTGGTTGGATAATTTTCATACTATGATGAATATGGTACTTACACAAGCAACAGGGGTAAGTTTTGCTAAAAAAAATATCAACTTTTATTTGAAAATTGAACTTATTGTTAGATGAAAAAATTATAAACATATTCTTAAGATTCTCAAGATTCTTACCTTGGAATTATATATTACATCATGTAGAACATATACTTATATATAAATATATAACATATAAAAATAATAATATATACATAATAAATAATAACGTTTTTCAGAAAAATCTTTTTGAAAACTTATAAAAAATTTTGCTATTGAAAATTAATATTAGATAGTATAAAAGAAGCAATAACTTAGAATAGTTTTATATTTTATAAAATTTTATTAATGAATATTTGTTAATTAAAATTTCATAAACAGATGCCAAATGGTAATCATGGTCTTTTTCATCGATTTGGAATTGAGGCGGTTACATTAGAAGGAATATCGCGAGATGAACCTGCTGCACAATTTGTAAGCCTTAATCCGTCTCAACCCATAAAAACTATACGACTTCTAGAAGACTTATCAAGAAGTTTAAATAATTTACTAGAAAGATTTCATCAGAGTTTTTTTTTCTACATTCTGCCCTCTACTGATAGATATATATCAATAGGTAATAAATATGAAATATTGAATTTGAAGTACAGTAAATAATAATATTTTATTTTTTAGGACAATATATGCCTGCTCTCTGTCTTATTGTTGGTGCTTTATTTATAATGGCATTTGCGTTATGGCTTAATATTTTTGAAGAACCTGGTAAATTAAAATAGCAACACATAAAAGTTTTTTTCATGCTGATAATATTTGTCTTTTATATTATTATAATTTATAGGTGAGTCTGACATTCAAATATTATCAAAGAATATTGAATTTGATTTGCTGTCAATTGGTGGAACAGTATTATTTTCTCATGCCATTGGTATTTTCTTAATGACAATACCAGAAATTTTAACTAAATTGGGAACTAGATATTTCAGTTTTAACACTGATGTATCTTTATTTTATGGATATTCACTATTAAGTATAATTACTATACTGGTTCCTTATGTTATCAAAAAATTTGCAAAGTATTCAGCTTATGATTGCATTGTGTTAAATATCTTAGCAATGTTAGAATTAGCTACATTGTTATTAGCTGTTGGGATGAATAATTTTTCAATGGCAATGCTTATTGGCAGCATCTTTGTACCATTAGCTACATTTTTAACACCAAAAAATAGGTAAGATTATTTCGAAACACTGTTACAATAAATTAATAAATAATATATGTAACTAAGTGAATATTTTTTACAGGTTTACAAGAGGCTCAAAAAATTTTTGGCTGTTGTTACAGCCATTGGTGTTATTTTCTCTATTTATCATGGTTTCTAGTTTTATTTATTTTCCAGAAGAAGAATATATGAGTGTGTTAATAAGAAGTTATACGGCTATAAAAGCATCGATAACTTATGGAGTGGTTGATTCAATAGTAATTTTTTTTTACAGTTTTATAAATTGTAGTTAAGAAATTATTGTATTTTTTTTATTGCAGATTTATGGCAATTGGGCCTTCAATATGACGACAGCTTTCCTAGTACCAAATTGGATTTTGTTTTGGATTGTATACAATACAAATAGCGAAGTTAAATGTAAAAATCAATAATGATAATAAAGACTGATAAAAAATAAATATAATATTACGGATTGCTTTTTTGCATTATTGTCAAATACATGTTTAATTAATATGACTTGCATGCATATTTCAAATTCGAGACAAAAATCTATGCATGATTTAATTTGAATTGTTGTAACCCTTGCAATATTCAGTGTCTATTACTTTTAAGCCTTGATATTTAATACATTATCCACCTTTGATATAAGAGTATAGTACAAAGTTAGACACTGAGTGTTAAATATGCTGAGGTGGCATGATTTTTTAAAAGTTCGGAATAGTAATGGCTAAATAAATGCTATTTTTTTTTAAATGACATCTCTTTAGTCGTAGTCTCATAGGCTTTTTTAAAAATCATATTCAATTCCATAATTAACTGATAATTAATTAAACCAACTGATAATCAAATCCACCGGCGAATTCCCTACAGAAACTTCAAACAATATCTAACAAAAGATAATTCAAGGTGAAAAGGTCATGTGTGTCAAGACAAAATTTTGAAAAATGATTTCTATTATGCAATTTATGTTCAAATAATTTTTGTTATATGAGATAAGAGTATGATAGCCTGACAAATGCGCAAACTTTCTCTTGTATTCAGTACGTGTTGATTTTTCGATCGTAAACCTAATGATGGAAGCAAAAATTGATTTAACTTCTGAGCCAATTTGGCAAAAATTGGAAAATTATATGGCTAAAAATGGAGACAAAATTAATATCAAAGATTTATTTCAAAACGACTCCCAACGCTTCACAAAGTTTAGGTAAGAATTTACAATTCAAACTTAAGCATATGATTTTGCTAATGCCTACTTTTACCTATATATATATATATAGTCGATTGTGATATCAATTAATAGCTTAATTAAATTTTTGATCAATTATTATTTTATTTAAATTTGATATAAGCTTTTTTAGAAAATATTTAATAATGCATTTTATAATATTACTGAAAACACAAAATGAAAAATATGTGTATATATATTCATTATGAATACGAAAATATTTTTATTTTACAGTCTTAAATTAAATACACCTCATGATGGTGACATTTTAATAGATTTTTCAAAAAATCGAATTACCGATGAATTATGGAGTTTATTGTTAGAATTATCTATCTCGCGTGGTGTGACAAGTTCACGAGATGCTATGTTTAATGGAGATCGAATAAACAGCACAGAAAATAGAGCAGTGCTTCATGTAGCTTTGAGAAATAGGTGAGTATATAATATGCAAGGCTTTTACGACTGATAATTGTGCTCATCATAATCATGGCAAATAAAAAAAGTTTTAATTTGATTAAAAATAAAGCATGAATGAAATTAAATAAGCTGATGTTTTTTATATTTTTAGAAGCAAAAACCCGTATTATGTTGATGGTCAAGATGTTACTCCCAAGGTAAATGCAGTTTTAAAACACATGCAGGAATTTAGTAATCAAGTTATTTCCGGTGTTTGGAAAGGGTATCAATGTACTCATGTAAGCAACGAGTATTTTTTGCAAGTATTTTAATTATCAATATCATTAGGTATACTGGCAAAAGAATTACAGATGTTGTTAATATTGGAATTGGTGGATCAGACTTAGGACCACTGATGGTTTGTGAAGCCTTAAAACCATACTCAATAGGTCCAAACGTACATTTTGTGTCAAATATTGATGGAACACATCTAGTCGAGGCATTGAAGAAGATTAATCCAGAAACAACTTTATTTATAATAGCTTCAAAAACATTTACTACTCAAGAAACTATGACCAATGCATTATCTGCAAAGGAATGGCTATTGAAATACTCCAATGAGGTATTGAAGCGTTTATGAATGTTAATCAAATTTTGTTTATTGATAAAACAATTTGTAATAATTATATTTAGCCATCTGCTGTTGCTAAGCATTTCGTAGCTCTGTCTACTAATTCTAGTAAAGTGCAAGAATTTGGAATAGATACGCAGAATATGTTTGAATTCTGGGATTGGGTTGGAGGAAGGTACATGAAATGGTTTATTGAGACTTATTTCAAGATTGTACAAAACTTGATTTTTTAGATATTCTTTATGGTCTGCAATTGGTTTATCCATTTGCTTATCAATAGGTTTTGAAAATTTTGAGAAATTATTAGAAGGTGCTTATTTCATGGATGAACATTTTAAAAATGCACCTTTGCATCAAAATGTAAGTAAAAAATTAAAAGAAATATGATTAAATAAAAAGGAATATAAAATATTTTATTAAAGATATTTCATATCATTACTTATATTTCTGCTCTTAGGCTCCAAATATTTTGGCTCTGCTAGGTGTTTTGTATAACAATTTTTATGGTGCAGAAACATATAGTTTGTTGCCATATGATCAATACTTGCATAGGTAAAAGTTAATATTATATATTCTATTAAATGTTATTTAAAATGTTTTATACTTTACATTTTTTTAGATTTGCTGCTTATTTCCAACAGGGCGATATGGAAAGCAATGGTAAAAGTACTACACGCAGGGGCAACCATGTGAATTATAAAACTGGTCCAATTGTATGGGGTGAACCAGGTACCAATGGTCAACATGCATTCTATCAACTAATTCATCAGGTAAATATGCAGGCAATTTTTCCATAAGCAAGGCAAAAACATTATTAAAGTATTACAATTACAAAGAGTGATTGTGTTTTTGTTAAATCAAAGAATACAGGAAGATTATATGTATGTGGATATATTCATAAATGAAATAATTTTGATTTATGTAACAGGGAACAAGACTGATTCCTTGTGACTTTATCGTCCCTGCTAAATCACACAATCCCATTGGCAATGGCAAACATCACAAAATTTTATTAGCTAATTTTCTAGCGCAAACAGAAGCTTTAATGAATGGAAAAACTGAACAACAGGTATTTTAAGATCAACTATAAATATACTTGATTTTAGCCATTAATAATATATCTTGATTGAACAGGCCAGAAATGAATTACAAGGCAGTGGCTTGAATGAAATAGAAATTAAAGCTTTATTACCACATAAAATATTTGAAGGTAATAGACCGTCTAACTCAATAGTTGTGACCAAAGTAACACCTTTCATTTTAGGTGCTTTAATAGGTATGACTTTTTACATATATTTAGGAAACAAATATTACACAATGATAAATTTATTAATGTTGCAGCACTTTACGAACACAAGATATTTGTTCAAGGAATAATTTGGAATATTAATTCCTTTGATCAATGGGGTGTAGAATTAGGAAAACAGTTGGCCAAAATTATTGAACCAGAATTGGAGAAGCAAGGAATACCTGGAGCACATGATTCATCTACATTGGGCTTATTGAACTTTTTAAAAAGAAATATGGATTAAATTTTTTTTATTTTCATAATTTTTTATACAAAATAAAATATATTGGTGTAAGAAAAATTAAGAGATTATTTATTTTAATATAGCAGTGATATAGCTTTATATCAATGGTAATTGCAATATCTCATTAATTTCAATGCATGTTGGATATCAAAAAATATTTTCATTATTCATTATCGATTAATTTTTGTGATATGTTAAGAAAAAAATCAGGTTAAAAATCAACAAATTAATCCTATATTTTCAATATATAAGTATTTTTTGGATATATTAATTATTGAACTTCTTCAATAATTCAAATAATATAATTAATGCAGGTTTTTTAAATTATTAAAAAATCAA